CGTCGTCGTCATCGTCATCGGGATTGTTAAGTTGCTTAGCAATTTCGGTAATCCGTCGATGCAGCTTAGATAATGGGGGATGCAGGATAGAGCTGATTCGGCAGAGCTGATCACAGTGCTAAAGGAAGGATCGCGGTCAGCTTTAGAGTAGCTTTTAATCGACAAGGAAACTGCAGATTAAAAAGGCGATTGCGGACAAATCCTGAGACGCAAACAGTGATGGGCCTACAGGCAATTTTTTATTCAATCCGGTTCAGATCATTGAAAGTAGTCAAAAGTCAGAAAATGATGGCGACTTACTAGACCGGAGCGGAATGCAAACGAAGAGACTTTTCGTTTGGCAATCGAACAGGAGCGTAGGCATTCTTCGAAACAACTAATCAGGGCCTCAAAATCACCAATGTTCGAGAGAGCAAGGAGCCTGTCTCCTGCTGCGAGATCATCAACTTCAGTCAAGAGCTCACCAATTCTGGCTAAAAGAGTAAAGAGGACAACTGTAGGAGTACCGCGCAAGCAAAAAAACGGTAAGAAGAACTTAGGACGAGATCAGCCACCCCCGACAGCACGATTAATTGCGGCCGACAATCAGTTCCCGACCGACCACATAACTACATGCGGGTGACAACTATTTTCCCCACTGACTGCACAATCATATGCGGATGACGATTATGGACTGTTACCTTACCCACTATATAAGCTTCTGTTAGCAATCATTGTGAATTAACTGTTTCGTAGAATTTTCATCTGTCTGACGACGACCTGGTGTGCCAGTGTCGAAAATTTACACAATAAACCACTGTTTCCCAAAGAACTCTTTCTACTGAGATTGCTTATTGTTCATAAAAGATCCACGGTTTTCTTGGGTAATCGCCATGGATTGAGTTCGAGCATGAATTCAAAACGCCAACCGAATTAAAGGTAATTTTCCAGCAATCGGATTGCTTCTGCTTTACGTGCAGATCCTAAAATGATTAAATGGCGCGCTGTTGGGAACATCTGGCCCCCTCGAAACAACTTCCAAAGGTGAACCGGTAGTGACAAAAATAGCTAGAAATGATTAGGTATACTGACGATTGTTAGGTAGGTAGTGGCAATACCGGAGCATAAAGCCCCAGATAGATAGTTTACTTTATTTTTTAAATCCCGAAAAGGACATCAATCGAGCAGCCAAGCTCCACATGCAAGTACTTGTTTTCTAGACTTTGTGCCTATTTACTAAAGTATGCTCCTGAAATTACCTATACTGGACGAATTAAAATAAATTTTGAAAAATAGTTCTGAAAGTTATAGTTACCTGAATTTATGAGATGATTGCGCGTGGAGCTGGCACGATGAAATGGGCCATTCTGACAGACAAACTCTTTCACCTATCGACAGAAAAAAAACCGCATTCAAAAACAGTGGCACCTCTTGGACAAGTGAACATGGCCGTATCCGAATGAAGTAGGATCCGACTCACCTGCAAGAGGTACTCCCTCATGCCCTCGTAATCATGAGCCAGTGAGCTCAGCTCATAGTTCATCCAGACAACTAAATTTGTGGGGGGAGTCAGTGACAGAAGGATATACTACTACCTCTTATTTGAAGGGTGCGCGCCTCCAACGAGTCCTCAGGAAGTCGACTTATTGCCCGTACCAGCAAGGTGAGGTCATGATGAGGAATAGTCTGATCCGAGGTGTGAAATCTGTGTGCACAAAGAGACTGTGTAGGGGGAGTGGCAGCAAAAAAATTACAAGGACTCCACAGGCATAGGCACATGTCAGGTACCTTTTCGAGTCCGCAAGTACCGCATCATCAAGTGCACTCAAAGGGTCTTCCAACGGTGCATGTCTGTTGGAAGTAGACTGCGTATAGGCCAAGGCATCTAAACGGACTTCCAGGTAGGTGAGGTGAAGGCGCGCTAATTGACTGGGTGACGGTCGAGAACGCAATCGAATGAGGGAAGCTGGAAGCAGCTCGTAGGTACCACAACTATCGGTGTGACGTTGTTCCGGTGTATCTGGCAGTCAGACAAATTTCAAAAGCACCATAAAAATATTATCATTACTACGACTGAAAAGGTTCCACAAAAGGCAGAAAGGTAGTCAGCGACTGAACTAACCCGATTCAACATGGTTTGGAGACCATGCGGGGAGGCTGGGTCGAATGCGACTTGAGAGTTTGAGATAAGCCGTTGCAAAACGTAAACACCTAGAAGGGAATGCAAGCAAGTCAAAGTTACAGAACCAAGTAACCTGGTGACAAGCATAAATGCCATTAAATACGAAACACTCCTCTACTGGAACAGCTGTGAAAAAGGTAAATACAGCAAGACAATAAAAATGTAATGAACGATAGTTATATGTGAGTAAAATCAACAACTTAACAGGCACACACTGCCTAGCCAACTGTACACTAAATTTCAAATACAGTGGAGCCCAGAATAACGAGTTTAATCCGTTCCGGCGCCGAGCTTGTCATGGGAAACGTTTGTCTTGCGAATCCTAGCCAATCAAACTGCACCCCTTCACTGATGGACTGCAGGCGAGCAAGGACGCAGGCCCTGGAAGCAGGATTCAGCGACGAACACAGGCACACATACACACTAACAACTCGTTAACTGAGTGGAAGCTCGTCAATCCAAATAAATTGTATGCGAGTTGTTCGCTTGTTACCTGAAAGGCTCAAAGATAGGGCTGCTCGTCACCCGAGGTTCCACTGTAACTGGATCACAAATTGAGTCTTATCGTACGGGTTAATTTAATCGGAAAAGCGAGGAAAGGACTAAAATGTATGCTTTAAAATGGTTAATGAACGGAATACATTGCACTTTGTCCGGCATTCGAAAACGACCCTAACCGTACCATGGTAGTTTTTGACAGAAATCAACTCTCGAGTTTCACCCCGAGCCTAAACATAAGGGCTTTCTTGAAAATTATGAGAAAAAATCAAATAACCCTATCACTTGAAAGAATGCCGGGTTTTTGTAAATCGCGAAGCGTGTGGCCGTTCCAATGCGTTACTCCTACAAAGGCCCTCTCGCCAAACAGTTCATCTTATGAAGTAGTCGCATGAACTAAGTATGGTGAAGGATCAGAATAGGCAACCTAGACTCATGGGATACTGTAAGGATAGGTGTGACGACGTGTTGTCTGACTTCTGAGTCGCGTAGCAGTGATAAAAAATAGCAGCAAGTGACAGTATTGTCAAAAAACTTACTTCAACCACAAACTGTTATTTCATTGACATCATTTGTGGGCGGTATCTGGTTAGACGTTCTTTCTACTATCCAGGCTTAACCGTGAGGCTTAGACTTATAGCGCTCCATATGAGGTTGAACTAAGCGAAAGTATTGAACTGCGACTACGACTGACCTCGAGTTTATTAGTTCCCTTCGGAAACAGCTTAATGAAACCATGCGCAGAGTTTGAGAATGCAGACTGGGAAACGGTTAATGTTTTGTTCCGGAAACAAGGATATTGCACTCCACAATGAGGGGAAAATAAAGACCACCTACCAGAGAGTTGAAATGGGGCCAATTAGACAGCAATTTAACCCTGGTTGAGGTCCGCTAACGACCAAATGAGACTTACCAGGGTTTTTCGACGGCAGATAATTGAAGAAGAAGGGCGACGCCCAGAGTAACAATATTTACCGTCTCCTCTTGAGCGACGCGTAGAAACTCCACGACAAGACCAGATTCAGAGTCTATTTCTTGCTGTTGACGATCTCTACCAACGACGTAACACTGGCCTATACAATAGAAAATAATCTTCAGTTAAGGCTCATAATTGTGAGTAGCGACCCGAACGCCAGTCCGAAAAGGAATGATTGGAGCCGGCAAAATTAAAGGATCCAAGTTTGCACTGTACTTTAAGGTCCAAATACTGCCGCGCATTCACAAGACACGCTTAAATAAATACCAACAGTAATAGGCAAAAAAACACTATTTGAATAATAGCTCACAAAAAAACGACCAAAACTTTCATCGGAAAGTATATGCAGAGTCAGAAGACCACTGGAGCTAAAATATCATAGTTATTTGAGCTATTCGCACAGAATAAATTAGGTTGAGAAAAAAATCAGAGTTTTGGTAATCAGTGGGGTAAGCTAATAGCAGTGGATTACGCCAACGTTGGGCTGCCCTCTTAATTGTCCCTTTACCAGATACCTGCTTAGTCGATAAAGCGCATCCAGTGAATGTGTGAGATTATGCCCATCAATAGCTTTTGCTCGGCCATTATTCAACTCCAAACTTAGGATGTTGCCTGTGATAGAAGGTGGTGTCTTTGTGAATTTTTATGCCTTCCCCTGTTTCAGCAAACCAGGTTAAATTAGTCGTTGAGAAAAAGCAGACTTGGTCGCTGGAACAAAACGTTTGTTCACCTGACGTTACAGTATTGAAGGGATGTCATTCCTAGGACAATTAACGGCTCTCCTCTCATCGGCAATTGTTGTCGTTTGCTGCGACAGTGGCTTGGTTGTCGACATTCGGCTACATTAGTCGCTGAATTTGATCATCCGCATTGGGGGTCAGAGTGATGATAGATCGGCCATCTGTCTCACCGACAGTGGCACAGGAAACTCTGTTCGCCTGTACGTTCCCCGGGCGATTAATTAGTTTGGCCAATCTAAGTCTCAACGCCGAATACGGGCTGAGGAGATAATTGCACTTGTAATTTGATCGGGGACCCGTAAATCATGAGTCAAGTAGCTCGCAATTATCACATCCCGCGAGAAGTTCGGTCTTTGAAAGGGACTACGAGTTAAAATTCACAGCCGTCAAGATATTCGTCCACGTCGGAAGCAAGACGAGTCGAAAACCGATTGAAAGCTGATCCACGGATGGGAGCTCAATTAATCGATGTATCGATTTGGCGCAAGCGTGTAGAGCCCAGCGCAGTCAAATCCAAACGTGCGTCACCGATATACACTCCCTATAAATGTCGCCCATTTTGGTGCTGCTGCTATCTCTTAAGATGAGCTTCTGTACGGGTTTGAGAGCTCGGAACAATAAGGAAGCCATTTCGGTTTTTTCCGGACTCGTTGAAGGGTGGGAGTTGTTAACTGTCATAAATATGTATGCAGTAGCATAGCGACTGCATCGTAATTAAACTACGGCGTTTTGTGTATCACTTACCCGTCGTTGATGCTACCTCTGATAATGGGTTCGAGCATGAAGTCGAAACCTCAGACAAATAAAGCTCTCGTTCCTACGATTACATCTAGTTCTTCGTAACCACTTTTTAAAACTCGCATTTTCGCTTGCACCGGTAAATCGGCTGTGCCCCTTTATGTCCTATCGCGGAATCCAATAAAATTCATCAGCTTGACTGGAGAGGCGAGCGTGATAGCTCATAAGCCTACAGGCCGCACCACACAATGCGGCAAATCTCGTCAACAGTTTGTTAAAAGGTTCGGACAGTCGACTAGTGCAGGGAAGATTAAGGTCGACACTGGGACATCCGTCTACGCAGCAGATTAACGTATTGCTCAAAATAATATACACGACGTGTTTGACCCTGATTATGATGTGCAACCAGCTGCTGCTTGGACGTTAACCAACCGACGGAATAACACAGTCGTTCGCAGGACTGGTATTCCAACTTCAATGCTTCCTCTTCAATGCGACGCACGCAGGATAGATTCGAGTCACCTTCATTGTTGTCCGTAAGATGTGGAGGGGGGAGAGCTGTGTGCTAGGCGCAAAGGGGCTATTTACCATCGTCGGCCACTACGTTCACGCCCAACTCCGATCGCCTAGACACCGTTTTGGCATCGGAGCATGATGGGTGAGAGAAGTGAGTGTTGTAGATGCGACGCAAGTCTGCCTTACTATAACGTAGTACACGCTTAAGTCGCCCACACTCCGTGGGGACACGCGGTGAATATCATCGCTTACTATGGCTGAACTGTCCTTCAGTTCTGTTCGTGCCTGAGAAATGTGTTGTGGAAACGAAATCAATACTGTTTCACTATGGGGATCAATCAAACGGTACGCGAATAGCATAGCCACTTCAAAATTACCAGTACAGCCTCGACTAAAGCGACTTTTGTGAACTAAACCTCTAGCTAGCCGAAGGGAGTGTGTAGAAACTACGAGTGAGCCGTGCCACAAATAGAAGTCTTAAAGGCTTGAAAACGATGCGTCAATATCCATGGATCTCATTTACCGGTGTGATTAGCTGTTACTTCCAGAGGCGATCAAGACAAACAACACCGAAATAAGAATGCAAGTTTCAGGGTAACAGAAACATTTGAACCATTTGTCAAGTCTTAGGAGCGAATATGACTGAAGGTCACTTGTTCGCTTGGTTGCAGGAAATAACTAAAAGCCTTTTGAAAAGAAGGCTCACCGTCTTCCAGCGTTGAAGGGCGATCGGTGGAGTCTCCGTCTACAACCGCCTTTCTCGATAGCTCTTCGTGTTTGTCTAGATTTTCTCGTTCGAACGTATGAGCAATCTCCCTTGAGAAAAAACGGAAAAAGACAATTATGAAGTGAGCAAGAAACACTTGGTAGGATGAGAGGGGGTGTTCGAACGTGCTTGAGAACTTTGAACAAGTGGCCAAATAAATTGCATTTATAATATACACGTCACACTTAGGGTCCGCGTTCTCCATCTCCCCTCTGCAAGCCTTCCAAGTTCAGAATAAAACGGCTATCTACACGCTCATTAGCAAACACTTTTAGGCAACGGGAAAAACCACCTTCTATAAAGATGCATAAACCTAATGCGGCAAGCCTAAAAACATCAGCACGCCCAAATGAAGCCATTCTTTGCTGATGAAAATGGCCAAAACCTGACGAGTGTTGCAAATATAAGTGGCAGCCGGTGCGTACTGTGGCTACTGTTTAGGCCCTCGAGTATCGCAGTGACAGCATGTGCAATGAAGTTAACACAATTACAGGAAGAAATGTATTGCCAACAAAGACAAGGGAGACTGGAATGGTCATTTCTGTCTGATTAGACGTCATCAGCCAGCCATACCGAACCTCAGTAGTAGCGAGCCCCCAAGCTCGAACTCGCGACCATGCTAAATAGAAGTCCAACGCTCTAACCACTGCGCCACGAGGTCATTGTTTTGATCGGGGATATGCACTATGGTAGATGGATGCTTACAGATCAGAGTGGAACTCAATCTTTCTGTTGTGCCTTTGGGCTCGCTCTCTGAGCCCCGCCAGCAGCCTCTCAACGGTTTACGTATTTAAAAATACATAACCGTTACCGCCGGGATTGGGTATGGCCAGCTGATGACGGCTAATAAACCGAAAATGGCCAATCCAGCTTCCCTTGATTTTGTCGATGATGTAGTTGAACGACGGCTGGTGGGGCTCGAGAGCCAGTCCCAACGCACAACGCAAA